ACAGTAATATTTGAGTCAACGAAGTTGATAGTAAGGTGGTGTTAGTGTCAAAAATATTGATCTTGGTAATACCTTGTGCTTTGAGGAGTTGTACCACTTGAGAGGGAGACCGTAGGTCATCAGCCACGCGGACCATAATTTACACCTACAAATCCCGAATCAAAAAGAGATAATTGAAGTCATGACAAAAGGAAAATGAAATGAAAAGTGCATGGGGCCGATATTAAACAAAGATTTAAAACATATAGTCTAATTACAAATGGTGCAATAGAAGAGATATGTGGTGTCAATATAATTACAAAGTAAAAAAATGTGAAAAAATGGAGATATGACATTTGAAGTAAAGATTGAAATGTAGAGGAAAAAGAGTTGAGATTCGAAGCTTAAATAATTATCTGAAAACTTCGTCCAAATTTGTAGTGCTTAATAAACTTTAAATATGTTTAATTTAGAAACTTTAAATAATTTTCTGTTGTTTATTATCAAAGGAATAGCTTACATTATATAGAAGCCTATTGAAACTAATCAACTATATTTTAACATTGATTTGCTGGGATTTACAGGAGTTTAAATACATTATCATTATCACATGAGAAGTCCTGGAATCAATGGAGTTTGTTGGCTTCTGTTGTATCTAATCCAGAGATCCTTGGTATATGGTTAAGATCTTCTTCTACACGCCCCCGCAATCTCATGGGAATTTGTTGGACATGAAGATTGGACTTGAGAAGATGAAAACGTGAGTTACTTAATGGTTTTGTTAGAACATCAGCAATATGATCTTTGGGAGAAATAAAACAGACCTGCAGTTTCTTCTGTAATACAAGATCACGAACATGATAAACATCAATTTCGATGTGTTTTGTCCTTGCATGGAATACTGGATTTGCAGAGAGGTATGTCGCACTAGTGTTGTCACACCAGAGCTGAGGAAGAGAAGATAATGGGTCTGAAGTTCTGTGAATGAGGACTAAATCCATTGAACCTCTGTAGCAGCGGTGGAGACAGCCTTGTATTCAGCCTCGGTGCTACTCTTTACTACTGTCTGTTGTTGTTTGCAAGACCAACTAATGAGATTATCATCATGGAAATGCAATAGGCCCCTACAGAACGTCGGTCATCTCGATCAGATGCCCAATCTGCATCTGAAAATGCATGTAAGGCATTAGTTGATCCTTTGGATAGAAATAATCCAACCGAGATGGTATTTTTCAGATAGCGTAGTATACGCTTTACAGCAGCCCAGTGAGCATCCCGTGTGGAATGCATGTATTTGCTAACTTTATGAACAGCATAAGCTATGTCTGCATGTATAAAGCTCAAATATTGTAGTCCACCAACCATGCTTCTGTAGAGAAAACTATTGTCAAGTTCAGTACCATTAAATTTGAAGAGACGACTGGTGGAAGCCATTGGAGTGGTGCATGTCTTAGCTTTTTCTAGATCAGTATGATGAAGCAGGCCAAGAATATATTTTCCCTGTGTAAGAAATAAGCCATTTGATGTGCGTAAGGCCTCAATCCCAAGAAAATAAGAGAGGTCTCCAAGTTCCTTAACTGGAAAAGTATAAGACAAGGCCTGAATGACTTTGTTTACTATTCTGCAGACCCCGTGATAATAATATCATCAACGTAAATGTGAAAGAATAGCTGCAAATTAGCTTTGTGTAGCATATATAGAGATGTGTCTGCATTTGAAGCTACGAAACCCAATCTTAAAAGAAAATTCGTCAAGCGTGAGAACCATGCTCGTGGCGCTTGAGGTAAGCCATAAAGACTCTTATTTAATTTGCACAAATAATTGGGATAATCAGAATGGACATAACCTGGGGGTTGATTCATGTAAACATCTTCATCAAGTATTCCATGTAGAAAAGCATTCTGAACGTTTATTTGTTTGATACACTAGTTTCTTGTAATGGCAATGGAGAGAAACATACGAATGGTAACTGGTTTTACAATTGGGCTGAAAGTCTCATGAAAATCAACTCCTTCATGTTGATGATAGCCTTTTGCAATAGGCGGGCTTTAAATCGTTCAATTTGCCCATTAGCACGACGTTTAATGCGATACACCCACTTGCAACCAATTATGTTGACATCGAATACAGGTGGCACTAAGGTCCATGTCTGGTTTCAAATAAGAGCATCAAATTCATTGTTCACTGCTGATCTCCACTCAGAAGATTTGATTGCCTCCTAGTAACATGTTGGTTCCGACTGGTCTGATGTTTGAAATGGAACAAGAGCCTTTGGTAGTGGGTAACAAATGTAATCAACTGGTGTTTTCTTGGGCTTAAGAGAGTTTGTCTTTGATTAGGTTACCATTTGATGTGTAGAAATGGGCTCTTGCTGGACTGGAGGTTCAATGTCAACCATCGAATCAGTAGAAATCACAACAGGTAATGATCCAAGATTTGAATCACGAGGACTGTGACCACACACAGTTGCTGGAACATTTTGAACTACCAATGGCGGGGAGGTCGATCCAAGTGGGTCTCGTAGACAAGATGGAGTACCTGCATAAGACAAAGTAGGAAAGCAAGAGAATTGATTTTGACTAAGATTAGCAGGAAGAAAGGTACGAGTGGAAGATGAGGGTTTTTGTGGGGGAGTTGTGTTTGTGTATGGAAAGAAAGTTTCATCGAAAATAACATGACGTGAGACAAATATTTTTCCTGTTGCTAAATCAAGACATTTGTAACCTTGATGACAAGTATTGTAACCAATAAATATGCATGTTTTGGATCGAAAATCAATTTTATGACAATTATAAGGTCGTAGATTTGGCCAACATGCACATCCAAACACTCGTAAGAAGTTATAATCTGGTCTGCATTTATATGCCCATTCAAATGGTGATTTTTGATTCAAAATTTTTGTTGGGAGACGATTAATTATATAAGTGGCAGTTAGAAAAGCATCTTACCAAAATTGTTTTGGAAGGTTGGAATGAGCTAAAAGAGCTAGACCCATTTCAATTATTTGACGATGTCGTCTTTCTATTGCACCATTTGTTCATGTGTGTGTGGACATGCAAGCCGATGTTGAATTCCAATGGTCTTAAAAAAACTATTTAAACGTCTATATTCACCGCCCCAATCAGCTTGTATTGATTTAATGGTGGTATCAAATTGATGTTCCACCATTTTTTAAAAAGGAATAAATATAGACTCAACATCTGATTTCAATTTTAAAGGAAATAGCCAAATGAACTTTGTATAATCATTAAGAAAAGAAACATAATAACGAGATCCATAAGTAGAAACTTCAGCACATGTCCCCCAAACATTAGAGTAAAGCAATTCTAAAGGTCGTGTAGCTCTAATATGAGACCGATGAAAGGTAAATTATGATTTTTTGCCAATTGACAGTCAGGACATACTTTCTGTCTCTTATTTGTAGCAACAGGGATTTTATTTGAGCAAATGACATGTTGAACAGTAGGATAAGAAATATGTCCTAAGCGTTGATGCCAATCTACTATTGAAATACGAGCAACAATATATGCTAATGCAGGACATGGCTAGTAAGGCTGCGAAAAGGAGTAGAGGCCATCCCGGACATAACCTCTATGCTGGACGTTTCCCAAGTAATCCTTTATGACGAAATAGTGTCCATGAAATTCAAAAAACACATTGTTATCATTAGCAAATTTTTGAATAGAGAGGAGATTTTTAGTAATTGAAGGAACAACTAGAATTTGGTTGAGAAGAAATGAATTAGGAGTATTTAAAGAGGCAGAACTAACATGAGAGATAGCCAAACCTGTCCCATTTCCCTCTTGAATCTGTTGAGTACCATTGTAATCTTCTGATCATAATGTGAGGTTATTAACATTAGTAGTCATGTGGTGAGTTGCACCCGAGTCGGGATGCCAGTCTTGATTGGTGTTCGAGGCTGAAGCATAGTTAGCCTGGATTGGCTTAGGAGTTGATTGAGGTCTATAGGTTATATCAAACCTGTAGTAGCATTTGTGAACTGTATGGCCAGGTCTTTTACAAAGCTAGCACTAGAGGGAGGAATTGTTACCACTTGACAAAGAGCTCCGGCTGTAGTTGGAATTGGTGAAGCCACGGCCTCGACCATTAGAACGCCTCCATCCTCGATTATTAGTTTGGTAGGAATTGCCACGACCACGACCATTATTGTTGTAGGTTTGCTGATGGGTGGCAATGTTGGCTGAGGCATTTGGAAGAGCAAGAGCTTGGTCATTGGGATTGATTCTAGCCTCAGCGATAAGGAGCAGCGAATATAATTCTTCAAGAGTGGTGTCATCGCGAGATGAAACCAAAGTAACTAGAGAATCATACTCATTGCCAAGTCTAGCAAGTACATAGTAATTATATCGTCACAAGTCATGGCTTGTCCAGCAATAGCAAGCTCATCCATTTAACTCTTTTACATAATTAAATGAATTATGTGACATTGCGTTTAAGTGAATCTATCATTTAATATTATGCAATTACCACTTAAACTAGTGCTTCATATCAATAGTGTGAAATAACATTACTCTAATCTAAATGGTTGATAAATATCACTATTTGAAGAGCGTGAACCTAGCTTTTGGGCTGCGTCGCAGTTGGTGACTGACATATTGTGCATATGGGGATATAATTCTTCAATTGTTTGAAAACACGTCTTCAATATTGCTATTAAACACGTCTTATATAGTAAATGAAAACATTATTATAATCATTTTACATTGTTTCGAATTTTTCACATAGAATATGAGACACTACGTAAAAATAATAAGTATAATGATAGAATTATTGTTAATATGTAGTTTCAAGAATTTCAATTAGATTGACAATGCAATCACTTTTTTTAGGAGTTGGATGCTTTTATATCCAAGTTATATCTATATTATAAAAAAGCACATATATGGATGTTAATTAAGAATTTTCATTGTGTGTCCCTACACAAAATCTATGTCATTTTGAGCTTTAGAAAAATATCGGGACAAGCAAAAGGGTTTGAAGTTAAAATAAGAAAATCAAAGTACTTCGAATGCTACGATATTTATTACTAGAACACCTATGCGTTTATTATTGCAACAAAATTATTATATTCTCAATATAAAGTAATTAAATTCTATTTTTCCAACACATTTATGACGATGGCCCGTCATTCAATCCCTTCAATGTAGTGGAATGTCATAGACTTTCTCCTCATTAGGGTAAAAAAGTCCAAAATTTCTCTCAGTAGTTGGCCCAGTTTTCTGGTTTTCATTGAAAAGTGCAAATATGTAGACGTTTAGAGGCTCGTCGGGCCTCAGTGGAGTGCCACCACCTGTGAGTACTCTACGTACAAGGTTTCCATTATATGACGCAGCGTTTTGTTCACTTGGACCATTCTGATTCTCGTCACCCTTTGAAGGCCACCCAGTTTCTGTCACCACCATTTTCACATCATTGAATCCTACGGCATTCATTGCTGCAAAAACTGAATCAAGTTGAGCTTCCAACAAGCTTTTATAAACAAGCCCATTATTCGGGTCAGTTGCGCCTGTGTTATCTTTGAACAAAGCGTAATCTAAAGAGATGGTATCTGAGTTAGCAGTATATGCGAAAAATGGGTATGCATTCACCATGAGATAAGATCCAGCTTGTTTTAGGAAACTCAATAGTGGTTTTATAACCGGTTCAACAAGGTCAGGTTTGAACGAACCGGCAGAGGGAGGATAGGAGGTTTCGAGTGCACCTAGGGCTATTGGAGATGACACTTTGATGGACGATGCAACATTGTACTTTACGAGCGATGCATAAACGTTTTTCATGGCAGGTACGAGGAGCTGGGTAGAATCCTGAAGACCCGCAAATATTATTTCATTACCGACAGCAATGGCATCGATGAGAGTGTTGGGATAATAAGGGAGGATATTTGACTGGACCCAGGTGTCGGTGAATGACTGACTGCCAGCAGCGTCGGATAACTGCTGGTTTTGAAGCCCAACAGTGATAGTAATATTTGAGCCAGAGAAAGCTGATAGCACGGTGGCGTCAGTGTCAAAAATCTTGGTCTTGGTGATACCTTGTGCTTTGAGGAGCTGTACCACTTGAGCGGGAGACGGTAGGTCGTCAGCCACGCGGCCATAATTGACACCTATGAATCCTGAACTAGAAAGAGAGAACTGCATTCGTGACAAAAGGAAAACTAACATGAAAAGTGCATGAAAAAAGTGCAGAGGTAATGCCAGGGCCATTGATTTAGAGGAAAGAATTTAGTGGAGATTGCTTTTGTGTATGTTAGGGAAAGGATTTTACTCGTATATAAAGGTTAGATTTGGTGAAGAAAAATAGGGGGAGTGGGGTAAGTGGGTAAACGGGTAGACGGGTTGAGGCCCAAATAGTTGGCAATTGATAAGGGTTGGGTGGTGGGTGCCTGGTGAACGGGCGAGTATTTGTCATAATATCTATCTCAAAGAAAGAATATAAAATAAAATCTAAAATTTAAAAATATTTATTACAATTATTTCAATGGCATGTAATATTTTAAGTAAGAATATCACTTTTAATTATTTTTCTATCTCACTTTTATAGTACTTATTCAATATTCTTTCAATGAATCCAAGCCCCATTATCTTATATCTTCAAGCGAATAGAGATTTTCATTATGTACATGTCATTATTATTTACAATCTCATGACATATTAGGTAAAATAAATTAAATAATACTAACTTCCAGAAAATATTAAATCAGAAGAAATAAAAATTTGTTTATCTTGTACGGTCAACATGATATAACAACTTATTCTCTTATTGGTGATCAACAATACTCTTTATATATTTCCCAAGAGGAGAAATTACATTTAAATAGTAAATACTATAAAAAAGATGTCTTCACAAAAGTTATTATCAAGTCTTATAAAAAAAGTATACGGTATTACTATAATCTTTATTGCGTGTAAAGTTTGTAGTAAATAGGTTTCATTAACCTAATAATGTTAATCCATGAAAGAGTTAAATGGAGCCTAAATGGCAACAAATTTAGAGCAACACTAAGTTTACATGGGTGCTTTCACGTGGGTGGGTATTTTTTTGATAATATTTTACTCACATAGGGCTCATGTGAGAATTCTGTATCTTTTTTGTGAAAGGTTATTCCGTACACACAGAATAATTGACAAATTTATTGATCAAGTGATAGGTTAGGTAATGCCTAAAAGCTGTCTCGAAATATTTCAATGTCCATATATAAATTCAAACCCTAATTTACTCTGGCATGTGTGGCGTTCCCTGCATAATGGATTGTACCAAGACAAAGCTACTGTAATGTTCTAATGTTAGTACAAGCTCATATGGGTGGCATACCTTCTTGTTCAATGAATACATGCGCAATAGAAGATCTTAAAGCCGTCACAATTATTAAGAGGTGGAGTCGAGGGAACAATTTTTATTTATATGTAGTAAGCTGATACATAGAAAAAATATTCCATTAAAAAAAAAAAAAACTATTTTTATAGCGTTACTTCATGAGAGAAATTGTTTTGTTTGAAAAATTAATTTTTTTTAAAGAAAAAAATCCATGATAATACTAGAAATTTGTTGCTCTTGCTCTTCATATGATCAAGCGTGTTCTTAAGTTAGCAAATATAGAGGAAAATATGAGTGAGAATCAACTTGTTTTATAAACTATGAGAGGGCGTTTTATGGTAAGGAGAAAATTGGGTGATCAAAGAAATACCATATCTAATTGAGGAATTATTAGTGATCAAATAATAAATTCCAGTTAGGGGTGGCAAAAGAATTGGAACCATTTGATATGATTCTGTGTGTTTTCAAATAGTTCTGGATCTTAAAACCTAGAATCAGAACCATGAAAATAATTTTATTTTTTAGGGTTATTATAAGATAAATATTTCTTGATGACACTTGTAACCCATTTTCGATTTTTCTTTTCTTTTTCACCATATATATATATGTTTTCTTTCGAAAGTTTGATTTCAAAACTTAACAGAGTTTGGCTGTAATACTACAAATGGAACCAAATGGTTCCATTAACGAAGACCATTAGTTTTATATTTGGTTACGATACTCGTGGAATCGAAATCGAACCATGTTCAGGCTTAATTCAAGTGATAAAGAGATTCTTTGGAGGGAAACTGGAGCTAGTGGTTCGAAACCTTTGCAAATATTATGTTATTGGTACAAATCTTTCAAAAGTAATGCAAATGATGCCAAACCTTTTCATTTTTGGTGCAGTAGGCCTTTTGGATGGATTTCATCTGAGATGACAGTTAGTTTGGCTCGTGAGCTACACTTTCTTTTAAGGGAAAATTAGGCTTAGCCCCTGTTTGGCACCCATTTTTTTCTCATTAAAAATAAAAAATATGATCGTTATCCATCACATCAAGTCACCAAATTTGAATTTCTATCTCTTGTGTGAGGCTCATAACGATTATATTTTTCATTCTCATTTTTTACAAAAATGGGAAACAAACGCCCCTTTAATAGAAGAAAACCCCATATCTATTAGACGTTGTGCAGAAAACCCCTTACCTATTGGAAATAGTAGAAAAGTCCCTGTTTGAAGCCTTTTGTGTGGAGTACAACCTTTTAAGTGCGAAAAATCCCATACTTTCCAATTCCGTTAGTTTAACCACTAAAAACAGTAAAAATTCCCAAAACTAAAAAGGAACAATTGCAGTTGCAATCACAAACTTTTTTTCTTTTTTTGCAAGTTATAACCAAATTTTTATATGTGCAACTCACAATCCCAAACCTCTAAAATTGTATATTCTTCCCCACCCCACTTCATCTTATTGGACAAAACTGATGATATATGATTAAACGCAGAAAACCCCAATTAAACCAAAATCAAAACCTAGTAATTTACCTTTTTAAGAACTTGAGGACGAATCAATATAAATACAATAAAAAAACCGTCACATTCAACCACCAATAACTTTACCACACAGTTTCTTAAGCCGTCGAACTTGGCCACCAATGTTGATGCATCATCCAGTCATCACACTCTACCCACTCGCCTGGTCTAACGCAGCCACAATTGGGTCCCACGAGCCTTGAAAGTCCACAAATTGAGAAGGATAACATTGCGGCACTACCCATTCCTGCCATACCCATGCCGGCAGCCACATACCGGTCAACTCGCTGATAAGTGTAGTTTCTATGATTATTCGGGGTCATAAATGATGATATTTTGTTATTTTTTTGTTTGAATTAGTGCCTAATTTGTTATTTATTACTTTTATTAGGAAAAACTCATGTTTGGAACGAAAAATGGCTAAAATGAAACAAATTCAAAATTCAAGAAATAAAATTTAAAGACTCAAAAGTTGTTTCGGACCTCACGATAAAGACTCGAGAGTGCTAGAGGTCAATTAGATAAGAAAATAAGTCAAAGGGATGAAGTAAGTCAAAGTATTATCACACATTAACTTTCAACCGAAAAATTTACACTTGAGAATTTCAACCTCATATTGAGACCCAATTTTGGCATAGCAAACTTTCGAATAGGAAAAATGATACTTTCTAAATAATTATAGCCCTCCGAGTTTTCTTTTCTAGGCACTTTGAATCATCTTAATCGGATATAAGGAGAGAACGATACGCTAAAATATTGAAAATTGTTTGACTGTCGAAAATTAGACGAGTTGAGTGCCCTTGCCTGCAGGTGAGGCTCGTGCCCCAAACATGACTGAGGCGCCCCAAGGCTTCTAGGCGCATGCCTCAGTGTAAAACGGGGAAATTATAACTTTCCTTATTCTATTTTGGTAAGCAATCTCCTTGACATCATATAAATAAGAGAATACATCCCGACCTAATAATCATCATTTTAAGCTGACTTTTGAGAGAAATAGAGAGAATTTACATCGAAGAACAAAGAAATCATCACTTAGATCCGAATTTAAAAGTATTAATTGAAGATTTCCAAATTTTCTTCGTAATTTAACAATTCGGGTGATGGCTTTCTTTTATTTTCCTTGTATTTCTTATATTAATATATTATACTAAAGTCCTTTGTATTAGATCGATCACAAAACTCTTTGATTCTTAGTTTTTAATTTGAGACTTTGTGTGTTTTATTTTAATTCTTGCATTGTAATTTTATTTATATGCATAATTACATTGTTTTAATGTTTGCGCACAATTAGGATAATAAGTTGCTTATTCACAGTGTTAAAAAATTCACGGCAGATAGTACACTATTGACGGTATACATGGATAATAGGAATATTATTTATGACGTGTGCAATCATGTATGATAATCCTAAACATCAATGTATGTTTGCCATATGAATTCGGATTAGGAATATGATCGTTTCGTGGTAATCATAGATTTATTATGTCTTGGAAAAGAATAGTGAATAAAAGTGGATTGTCATAATTGCAAGAATTAAGTTAATTACCATAGGTTGAGAATTAAAACTAAGAGTTGATCAGTGGGGTCAAAAATCCAATTCGTTCACCCACATTTGATTTTTTAAATTTTTTCATTTACGTTACAATTATAAAATGTAGTTAGACACCAACCAATCATTTTTTTTGTAACAATCACGAATTTGAATATACCAAATACACTAAAATTGAGCATTATTCCTTGTGAGACGATAATTTTCTTATTACGATTATTACTTGTACAACAAACTCGTATACTTGCGAGATTTTGTCAAACACTCATCTCCCATAGGTGACCAACATCATGGCGAAAAATCATCAAACACATCCTTCAAGCACTAAATTTAACACCAGAAACTGTATCCTAACTATAAGTATATCAAGGCTATTATGCGCCCCCAGGGCACATCTCCAAATGCTAAAAGGGGAGGGTGAAGAAATCCAACTTTGCTTGAGGCTGTCGCGTCAAGGGTTCGAATTCTGAAATATGAATTTGGCTCTTGGGTAAGTGTAAGTGTACAAGCAGCCTTCCACCCTATAATCTAGGATGCATAACCTGCGATTTACCTCCCTCACGATACTCCAGGGCAGGGGCGGTGGGGGACCCCACAATAGTTTTCTTCCAATTGTCTACAGTCGAAACTCCAGCAGGATCAAACGATCGTGGGTATTCATCCAATTGATCCAACTTAGAATTCGAAAACTACCTTTGACCGTGAGTTACACAAAGTGATTGTATGTTGTGGATCCAATTGTTCAAATTACTCTGCATTTGTGTACATTTAGATTTTGCAATTCTGAATAATTTCTGATGGAACTTACGGGGGTTTGAATCTCACATCGGAAGTATGGGCTCCATTTATGTGGTTTACATAAGTTTGAGTTCTCCAACTTCAACGATTAGTTTTTGAGGTATCGAAAGGCTTAAAAACTCGTGCCGTGCCATTGATTGTATAGTTTATGCCACATTTATTCCATGGAGATTTGATGTAGCCAAGAAGTTGGGATTGGTTGGTGCTACTTCTTCGCACAATCTTATTTTTTGGACCATATTTACTGCCATGTGTACGAAGGTGAAGGAAAACTTCCACTTTGAGAGAGTGAAATTTTGGCTCCTGGATTGCCTCGATTAAAGTCTTTAGATATACCTTTCTTTTTTATATTTTCAAGGATTATGCCCTCCTCAATTGGAAATGGTTGTTAATTAGTTCCAAAATATTGATAAGGCAAATCGTCAATCAGAAAAAGATGAATTGCGGTGGTGTGGGGAAGAAAATAAAATCTTAAATGTTTGGGATTATGGATAGCACAAATAAAAAATGGGATATAATTTGCAAAAAAATAAAAAGTTTGAGATGGCAACTGCAATTATTTCTTGCTCCTTTACTATTAGTATTATTTTTTTAAACTTTGACAATTTTCACTGTTTTTAATTGTTAAACTAACAGAATTGAACAGTAGGAGGGTTTTTTGCACCAAAAGGTTATATATATCCCACACAAAATATTTCAAACAAGAACCATTTCTAATATTTCCAATAGGAAAAAAAGATGATTTTCCGCACAATGTCTAATAGATAGGGGTGTTTATGCTATTCAACCAAAAAATTACATAGTCCCAACTTGGCGAAAGTAACAATCATGTACCCCTCACAAATTTTGGGCTTATTTTTGTTCCCAACCTTTAAAAGATTAAAAGTAGAAAAAATATGGGTATATAGATTATATTTTCACAGATTGTGTACATAATAGAGACGTGTGTTGGACTCATGTTGTATAAAAAATGTGTGTGGGCCTCAGAATTGTGTGTTTTCTGTATGTATTCTGGCAAAAATCATTCTGTATCTGTAGAAAGGTTGTTAAAAGTAAGTTACTCTTATTAATATTTATTTTTAAAAAAAAATTACCTTTATTTATAAATAAAAAGTAATTAAATAATTTTTTTTTTTAAAAATCATGTACTTCAACCGATGAACACTTGAAACCACCATCACCAATCATTGGCGTAGCTTCTAAGGATTCAACTTCACAACTGAGAAATAACTAATCACCAAGCTTTCTGTTTGAAAAATATTTACACATCTCACGAGTTCGATTTTTCCTACCAACACTTTCTCGGTCGAGCTTGGTGTACCGAGCTTGTCTAGTGCGGTTTACATGATTGACATGATTTGCAGGCTATTGCGTCAACCCGATGGTTTACTCAGTGCACACTCAAAAAATAGCGACTGTCGATTTTCCTGTCATAAAAATTAAAAATATTTACATATCTTAAAGACTGACTTTCTTAAGCCACTATTTGAGCCCCATTTTTTGGGGATAATATATTTCTAAATTGTAATTTTTTGAAGAAATATGTGGTTAGAAATGGACAAAAGTTTTGAATTTATGTGTAAAATTATTTTATGAGAAAATGTATGGATGAAAATGAGTTTTGAGAATAATGGGACTCAAACAATTATATTGCTGATTTTTTAATTTGTGAAACAGTGGAAAAAAGTGCACAGGTTAGGTGGTAGCCAGCTCGACCGATAGGGATGGTGAGCAAATTTGTCCAAAATATCTGAGCTGTGAATTTTATGTTATGATTTAGTGATGAACAAGTACAGCTCGTATATTTTAGGTTTTTAGCATGTTTGAGCCCCATTTTTTAAAAAAATAATACATTTTGAAATAGTAGATTGATGGAAAATGTGTGATTAAAAAATAAGAAAAATTTTAAGTTTGCGTGTAATATTATTTTATTGAAAAATGTGTAGTTGAAAAGAAAAAAAGAAAATGTATTTTGTGAAAATGGGAATCAAACAAGGGAAATGCTATTTGTACAATCGGGATTGATAATCCCAATTGACAGCCACACATATGGGAATGGGGCCCACAATGAATAAAAAAATCGTGGGCCTCCCTCCTGTAAGAAGGTTATCAAACGCGGTTGAACAACGAGCAAAATTCATAAAACAAGGGCTTTATATCATCCTTTGTACTTTTATATTTGTTTAGAAAGAAAATATAAGAATATGATAAATTAACTTTCAATATATTGCCTCCAAGAATCGTAATTGATCACCATCCACGTACTTTGTCGTAATTGTTAAAAATTAAGCATTACTCAAAGAAGAGGCTCAAATTCCACGTCGTTTCTTTTAGCAAAAAGTTTATAATTCAGTAATTAGTAATGAACTCGGCTTTGTGGTGTTTCACTACCATAAGTTTATATTACTGGAAAATTTCCATATAATCTTTTGATCACTAGATTTATTTGAAACTACAGTATTGGAGGAATTTTTTATATTAGATGCATTATCCTTCAAAATTTAATAAGAAATTCGAAAGTTGTTTGCCTCATGTGGCCACTGTATATATGAGTCCCCTTTTAGACGGAAAATCTACTGTCCACGTTATGATTTCTAAGAAATTTATGGCATTATGCTATGAATGAAACACAACGTTATGTTTGAGGACTATATTTTAACAGTTATTTTTGTTACGCCTCTACTTGACATATGACAATTAGCTAAAAAGAATGTTACACAATGTCGGCACTCCATTTCTCATCGCTTCTATCACATATTCTGAGGCAATTAGGTCATGCCTTTAAATCTCATGATTAATCCTTGGATCAATACAACATATTGAAGCGTATCTTCGTTCGGAAAGCTACATTCCAAGAATTAATACAATAAATGGGGAATGTGAAATCTCCACTATCCATCGTATATGTTATTTATTTTGAGTCTAAATGACCAATACAGTTGAATGAAGTTTGAATGCATTTTTTTATTTGACAATGTGACAATGATCTCACTACCACATAAATCGATTATAATCTAAATAAATAATGCTACTCTTATCCATCATGAGCCTTGATTCCATCATCAAAGAGAATACTCCACCAAACTAAAACATAGCACGCAAATTTTGTTTAAGCTTATGACATGTTGTTGATCTCACATGCCCTTAGATAATTTCTGAAATTTGCTATACCACAGATATCTGTAACATAAATAAGTCTTTGTTTGTCTCCCTTTGATGACAATAAGTACGACCGATTTGTTGACAAAAAAACAAAAAAAAAACAAAAAAAAACAAACAAACAAACAAAATTATGCAACTTGCACAAGTGATGGGTAGCTACTAAGCTGGCTTGCTACGTAGCAAAGCGGGCTTGCCTAGCCAGCCAACTCGCTAGCTCACCAGTGGCTGCAAAAGCAACTGTTGAATTGATGGGTGGCTGCAACCTTACTATCATTGCTTCTAAATTGCAACCATCACCACAATCTTACTGAATTGATGGACAGGTAAGCCATCATAGGTGAGTTATCATTAATAGAGTGGAGAATGCCAAGTAGAGAATTCTTTGGCGTCCACTATATTAGTGCGAGAAAAGGTCACTGGAGAAGGACTCGATGACTTCAACCCCAAGAAACTAATCGAGCGAGCTGTTCACGAAATTATTTCTTTCGATTTAAAACCCACCGCAAGTGTATGGTTCGTTAACAAGTAGTAAAATGGACTATGAGTCCAAGTATCGATCCTACAAGGATTGAATTAATTCAAATCACCATATTATGACCTTAACCGAAACAAAAAAGTAAGATGTAAGTATTGTGATTTAACTAAGGAAGATGTGAACTCTAATGCAATTATGAATGAGAGAATTATATTAAATGCAAAATGACTTGAACACAATCTACGAGAATTTATGAAATTAATGAATTTACTAACGCACTAGGATCACGAATTCCCAAGCAATATCGTTCAATTTTCAATCCTGTAAATTTGACACACAGTTGCATAAAAGATGAATCAATATTCTTATTTTAATTTGACAATCTCTTTCGAGCAATGCCAAACCTACCCCGATATGTGATTCGACTATATCTCTATGACGAATACTAACATGCCGGAATGCATTATGATTTCATAAATATCCAACAATTCACACAAGGCATGGAGGTATATTTAGGGCTGGGCAAATCTCTCGAACCGAACCGAACCCGACGGTTCTTGTCGAATTAAATACCCGAACAGGTATCTGAATTGAGAACCGATGGGTACGGTTCGGTTCTCGATTCTATACCAAGAACCAAAAAACCGAATGAGAACCGAATCTTTCGAACTCTTTTTTTTTATTATTGAATAAATCAAATGTTTTAATTTTAATTTTTTTCCAAACAAATTAACAAATTCTAAAAAATAATTTTTGGCCCAATAATTGTTTCATTTCTAATTTTTTAGCTTTTGGCCCACTCAGTTTATTGTTTGATTTCTAATTTTTTTTTAATTTTTGGCCGAACAATCAACATGATCCAACCCAACTACCCTAGTCCAACTAAATAACCCTACTCTTGATACAACCTACAAGCATAAGTGCATAACCATTAACCTCCGTCTGCGGCTCAGCTCTTGATACGGTTATTGTCACCGTCCTAAAAAACCCTTACAATCGTCGACCCGGAGTTCTCAGACGGTCGAACCCTCCTCACTCGGGGCTCCAACGAGTTTCGAACTTTCGTTCGCTGCCTTCCAGATTTCAAATTTTGGTGAGTTCTTTCACGGTGCCATTTGTTTTCACTTTTCACTTTCACAGTCCAGTACTACTTTGTTTTAATAGTGATATTGTTGGTACAAATGGTATACTTGTTGAAAAGGGTAGTTGAATTTGGATGAATTTTACACTCTTAGATTGTGATTTTGGGAGTTTGGGTGTCTTTATTTTGTGCGGTCTTCAGTTGAAGAATATAAACTATCCTGAGTTAAGAACCATAATTATTTTGCGGTCGTGGGTTACTATGGCTGATATAGTAAACAAGCGGTAGAGAGAGTCGTAGCTTCGATTCGAATGCAATGTTCAAAAATCGAGTGTAGATAAGTTGATCCAAATTTGTTATCTTAATTAAATAATTTTTGACACTTTTAACACAACTTATTTTTGAAGTAATATGTTTATTCATATGTCATTTGACTCTTTAAGATCCATTGAATAATTTTCCCAACCATAAAATGTCTACTTTTTACATGAGACACTTCAATACAGTTTTTTTTGTCTGGACCAATTGGTTTTCTCTTATTTATCCTCTTTGTAAACTACCTGCCCTGATCTAATTCTTCCAATAAAATAAAATTAAAATTATATATGTATATACAGAGTTAAAGTTTTATATCTATGGTGTAGTTCAACTGATTCTCATATCACGTCATGGCTAATATTAAATGATTTGTCAAAATAATCTCTCCACATATTTTTATCAAATTATACAGTACATTATTGCAATGAGTCTGAAGTTTCAAGCACTCTGGGCTCCAATTTGTTCTATTATTAATTCTATGTACTTCAATTTTTGTTTTCCATACTTGGCCTAATTGTCTAGTTATGATTTAGTGCTCAAGATCTTGTTAATGTATGTGCCTGACTTCATAATATATCTAAATGACTTTTAGACTGTCATTTCAATAATGGCAGGATTTATCATTGTCGTGCAGGATTTTGTAATTTGTGCTCCTCATTGTTTGTGCAGGATTTAATCAAGTTTCTTGTTAAGGTGATACCAATTCTGGATGCCCAAATGGGAGACAAAAAGCAGCCTAATGAGAGGTCAGAAATATGGGATCATTTCACTAAGATACTTGGTAGAGAAAGAGCAAAATGTAATTACTGTGGGAGAACATTTAAGGCTGACACTAATAGTGGAACTTCTAGCATGTGGAAGCATTTAAAAACTTGTTATGCATATAAGAACACTAAAATTGATGAAAACCAACCATTACTCACTCGAGAAAACAATGATGGTGGTATTATGCCTACGGTGTTTAATAAAGAAATGTGTAGAAAAGTATTGGTTAAGATGATTATTATTGATGAATTGACTTTTTCCTTTGTGGAAGGTGTGGGTTTTAAGGAATTTGTTCGTCAACTTTGCCCTAGATTTGAGGTTCCTTCTCGAAGAACAATTACTAGAGATGTGCTACATCTCTACCATGAAACAAAGGAATCATTGAGGATTAAATTTATTAAGGATAGGCAAAGGATTTCTTTAACCACTGATTGTTGGACATCAATTTAAAAGATTAATTATATGGTAGTCACAACATACTTTATTGATAGAAGTTGGAAATTGCATAAGAGGATATTGAGTTTTTCTATGGTTCCAAATCATAAAGGGGAGAAAATTGGGAAGATTATTAAGACGTGTCTGCTTGATTGGGGAATAGAGTGTGTGGGTAACATTACTGTAGATAATGCAAACACAAATGATGCAGTGATCGTTTATGTGAAAAACAAGTTAAAAAGATTTGGAAACCTAATGATACTATGATTTTAGGTGGCTCTTATCTGCACGTACGTTGTTCAGCACACATAATCAATTTGATTGTTAAAGAAGGGTTGAAAGAGTTTAATCCATCTATAGATAGTATTCGCAATGTGGTAAAATATTTTCAATCATCTCCTACTTGGTTGACAAAATTTAAATGTTGTATTGAAAGGGAAAAGATTGCATGCACAAAACTTGCTATTTTAGATGTTCCTACTAGATGGAATTCAACATTCTTAATGTTGGATAGTGCATTAAATTTTGAAAAAGCTTTTCAAAGAATGCAGGAAGAGGACGGATTTTATTGTAAATATTTTCATGAAAATGAAGATGGAAAAGAAAAAGAGGGGCCACCTACAAGTTATGATTGGGAGAAAGCTAGAAAATTTGTCAAGTTTCGAAGAACCTTTTATGATGTCACATTGAAGTTTAGTGCTTCATTGAGTGTTACTTCCAATATTTACTTCCATGAAGTTTGTAAAATCGAGCAAATTTTGAAGAAAATGGGTGAGAAGCAAGATTATTTGCTAAGTAGTATAGCAAATAGCATGAAAATTAAGTTTGACAAGTATTGGGGTAAAGTTGATAAAATGAATAAGATTTTGATTGTAGCAGTCGTGCTTGATCCTAGGTATAAGTTGGAGTTTGTTGTACATTGCATTGGTATTTTGTATGACAGTGTTAAAGTTGAAGCCACAAAAAATGAGCTCATGAAATTATTGTATGCTTTATATAACCAACAAAAGGAATGGCATCGTTCAAACAATGGACCGAGTGGAAGCGGAAGTGGGGGTGATGAATCTAATGATGGAGTCGCTTTGTTGGAGGATTTGAATGATGATGATGATTGGGATGACTGCAATTTTGACTTTGGGTACAAGAAATTGAAAACCACTAAAATGGATTTTTCTAGAAAAAATGAGGTACAACGATATCTAATGGAATCCACTGAAGATGCTAGTGATGAAAATTTTAACATTTTGAATTGGTGGAAGATCAATAAATCAAGATTTGAAATTTTATCTGAGGTTGCAAGGGATGCTCTTGCCATTCCTGTATCTACAGTTGCTTTTGAGTCAGCATTTAGTATTGGAGGGCGCATTCTTGATCCATTTAGGAGTTCTTTAACTCCTAAAACAGTTGAGGCCTTGATTTGTACACAAAATTGGCTAAGGGAAGAATCTAGACTTTTGAAAGTTTCCCAAGATAGAGTTTGCGTTGAAGAGGCGGAGTTCTATGAGAGCATTGAGACAGGTACACACACACACACACAACACACACACACACACTATTAAATGTTATTAGTTGAACAAATTTGAATTTATTTACGATTGTTAATAAATTAATTATGCTTTTTCAATATTTTCTTGTAGAGTTTCTTAATAGTGAGTATGACAAGTCAAACAATTGATGGATAGTTGTAGTTTTAGTATTAGTATCTACTCTTTGGTATTTGTAAATTGTAAGTATCGGTAAATTAATGTTGTTGGACAACTTGTTATTTACATGTTATTACATTTGACTATGTTAATTTCTAAAACTACGATTGAATATGTCATTAGTTGTATTTATATAGTGTTTTTATAAATATTAAAAAATTTAATTATAGTACAGAACCGAACGGAATTGAACTGAACCGAATCCAAACGGTTCCATAATTATATATGGACCCGACGATTCCATTTACTAGATACCCGAAAACTTTGGTTCGGTTCGGTTCTCTTTAGAATCAAACCGAACCGACCCGCGCCTACCTCTAGGTATATTTCTATCCCCTATCGGACCCTATGATGATTTATACTATGTCGAACCTATTTTCCTTCTTTCGAATGCATAAAAAAGGCCACCAAAATTATATAATTACGTGCACAATAATAATATGGAAATAAAAACGTAATAAATCATTCAATTTCGGAACATGAGTTTAAATATGTCAAATATCCAAATCAAAAATCAAATGTAGTATTGTAAGGTTTATCGATCTCTTAGCAATGAAAAATCTAGCCTAACATGCTAAAAAGAAGAAAATACAAAAATAGTTGAAGAAACGCCATCACCCGAATCAAGTTTCAATCCAATCTTTACTTGACGCGGTGTTTTCCTCTTGTTCTCTCTTTGTTTTCTCCTTCAAAATCTCACTTTTTCTTGTCAAAATGGCGTCCCTTTCGTTCTAGTCGAGTTTTTGTTTATATAGGACCCTAAAAATCTTGTTTCTATAAGACTTTCGGCGGAATAAGGAAACTACGGATTTTACCTCCGAGTTGCTCTATGCGACCGCATAGAGCATCTCTATGCGGTCGCATGGAGTAAACATTTACTGAGAAAAAATTCTCGGTTTGCTTCTATGCGACCGTATAGAGGGTAGTCGCATAGTGCTACCAACTATGGAAAAAGTTCATTTTGGTCCTTGTACTTGAATCTTTCATTTATTGGCATCTTCATTCTTTCCATTCCATCATCTCAAGATATCATCAATTGGCATTTGGCTTAATCAATTTCTTGATTTGTTCATCGGGTCAACTTTTGGATAATTTTACCTTGGTCCCTGAACTTTCACTTTGCATCATTTTTAGTCCTTTTTCGTGTCTTTTCTCCTAAATTCCACTTTGTTCATCGGTGTTCCCTATATTCACAAATGTAACGAGATTAAGTCACGATTAAATCATTTTGCTCGTAATTAAGTCATGTTTGTGACCTAAATAAGTGTGCAAAAAAACACTTATCAAACCCCCCAAACTTGAAATATTGTTTGTCCTCAAACAAGATAGTGAGTTAATTCTGAACAAACATGGTTTAATACCCTGTTGTGGCTTAAAATTGGACTAAGTATTTGACTTTATCAAAATTTATCAGTGCAAAAATGACATCAACATTTACCTGTTAAATGCAAATTGACGTGTGTATGTGAATTCATGCCAACATATTAGGTTTATTATGAATTTGAGTCCTGACCCCAAGTGGTAAAATGTATCCTTAGTCGCTTGAAAGATACACAACCCCCCAAACTTATTCTTTTCACTCAATTATCACAGGGTTGTGTTTTAAGATTAGAAATTTACATAGCTGTAGTCCTCACCCTCTCGTAGTTTGGATTGATCTCACTATCATAAGTTTACATTTCAACAAGTGAAGGCTCTCTTAAGTTTGATTGTTTCGACACTTAAGATTAAACTATGTTACTTGCCTTACTTCAAAGGTATAGTTTTTTCAACTAAATGTCCAAGGGCTTTTCTTCATGTTATTGTCTCTCTTTTATTTTTCTCACTTTTCTCTAATTTCTATTATTATTATTATCATCTTCTCATTTGCTTTCTATATAACCCATGTAACGAGTTTTAGGTCGGTGACTCCCAAACTAGTTGGCTTTAGGACACCAGGTTTTAAACCCTTGCAGGCTTATTCACCCGAGTTATAAAGGTTCGATCAAATGACTTTTTATTAACCTCTTTTCCTCTTGCTCTTTGTATGACCCATGTAACAAGTTTTGGGCCGGTGACTCTCAATCCAGTTGACCTTAGGGCACCAGATTTTAAAATATCCTTATAGGCTTACTTGCTCGAGTCATAAAGGCATGAAAAGAAGTGTCGTATTCTCACATATTAATTTTATGCCCTTTGTTGTTTTTCTAGACATTTAGTTAGGGCTGGGAAATCTCCCGAACCGAACCATGAAAATTTTAACATTTTGAATTGGTGGAAGATCAATAAATCAAGATTTGAAATTTTATCTGAGGTTGCAAGGGATGCTCTTGCCATTCCTGTATCTACAGTTGCTTTTGAGTCAGCATTTAGTATTGGAGGGCGCATTCTTGATCCATTTAGGAGTTCTTTAACTCCTAAAACAGTTGAGGCCTTGATTTGTACACAAAATTGGCTAAGGGAAGAATCTAGACTTTTGAAAGTTTCCCAAGATAGAGTTTGCGTTGAAGAGGCGGAGTTCTATGAGAGCATTGAGACAGGTATACACACACACACACACTATTAAATGTTATTAGTTGAACAAATTTGAATTTATTTACGATTGTTAATAAATTAATTATGCTTTTTCAATATTTTCTTGTAGAGTTTCTTAATAGTGAGTATGACAAGTCAAACAATTGATGGATAGTTGTAGTTTTAGTATTAGTATCTACTCTTTGGTATTTGTAAATTGTAAGTATCGGTAAATTAATGTTGTTGGACAACTTGTTATTTACATGTTATTACATTTGACTATGTTAATTTCTAAAACTACGATTGAATATGTCATTAGTTGTATTTATATAGTGTTTTTATAAATATTAAAAAATTTAATTATAGTACAGAACCGAACGGAATTGAACTGAACCGAATCCAAACGGTTCCATAATTATATATGGACCCGACGATTCCATTTACTAGATACCCGAAAACTTTGGTTCGGTTCGGTTCTCTTTAGAATCAAACCGAACCGACCCGCGCCTACCTCTAGGTATATTTCTATCCCCTATCGGACCCTATGATGATTTATACTATGTCGAACCTATTTTCCTTCTTTCGAATGCATAAAACAGGCCACCAAAATCATATAATTACGTGCACAATAATAATATGGAAATAAAAACGTAATAAATCATTCAATTTCGGAACATGCGTTTAAATATGTCAAATATCCAAATCAAAAATCAAATGTAGTATTGTAAGGTTTATCGATCTCTTAGCAATGAAAAATCTAGCCTAACATGCTAAAAAGAAGAAAATACAAAAATAGTTGAAGAAACGCCATCACCCGAATCAAGTTTCAATCCAATCTTTACTTGACGCGGTGTTTTCCTCTTGTTCTCTCTTTGTTTTCTCCTTCAAAATCTCACTTTTTCTTGTCAAAATGGCGTCCCTTTCGTTCTAGTCGAGTTTTTGTTTATATAGGACCCTAAAAATCTTGTTTCTATAAGACTTTCGGCGGAATAAGGAAACTACGGATTTTACCTCCGAGTTGCTCTATGCGACCGCATAGAGCATCTCTATGCGGTCGCATGGAGTAAACAT